CGCCAAGGTCATAGTCCTGCCAGTCGCCATAGGTCTCCTCATTGATGTTGTGAGCATTCTCAGACTGGTAGGCGTGGTAGTCATCGTACATGTCGCACTCATAGTCCTCGGGCGTGTGCTCCTCAAAGAAATGGCCAACTCCATGTCCATGTCCGCCTCCTTTTCCTCGATGTCGCCAGGCAGTTTCCCTTTGTCTTCTCATAGCCAAATCCTCGGCCCCGATGCTCCCTCTCGCGCAACCGAGAGTGTTGAGCAATGAGCTCACCATGAACGCCATCCATGGTGATCTTGCCACCCAAGGCCGATCTCACAAGCAAAACCTGCTGTTCCGTCAGGCCTGCATTGACCAGGGTTCGCTCCGCAAGAATCACCTCCGGCAACTTGAGCTCCTTGTCGAGGTCGGTGAAGTCCTGATACCAAGCCTGACGACGCACCAAGTAGGTCGACATCGGCTCTGTCGCTTGGCGGCTGAGGATACCGCCTTCACGAGCTCCAGCGGCGTAGAGCTCCCTTGCCTCCTGAGCACGTTGTGGCTTCAAGGACGTGGCCAGGTTCTCCAAGAGGCGGTCGATGCCCTCCTTGCTCTACAGCACGGTGTAAGACGTCTGCTGGACAACTCTCAGTGCGGGTCCGGTCAAGCCCTCGATGAGCCTAAGGCCCAATGGCCCTTGTTTCTTGACTTCGTTCTCGTCCATCGCAGCTTCCCGGGCCATTGTGGCTCTGACTCGCCAGGTGTGCTCGCCAAGGCGAGTGGGCTCCCCGTTGTACCGGGGTATGCTGCCACCGAACTTGCCTTCTGTGCTGTTGCTGTTCTCCTCCTCCTTGATGAAGTTGATGTAGCGGAAAGTGTCAAGCAGCGCCATGATCCACACGGCGAGCGAAGACGTGGCCTCGAAAGGCCGTGCAGGAAAAAGTGGGACCTGGATCCCCTGGAGCTTCGGTAGCTCCGCTACCAGTGTGGAAACGAGTCCCAACACTGGCAGCACGTGAAAAAGCTCTTTTCTTGAGCCATGCGCAAAAGGTGGCATGTTTGGTCAGTGTCTGGAACCTCAAGTGTCCGGTAGCTATCCAGGTCCGTTTTCACAAGGCGTGCAGTCAGTGAAAAGACATTTGGATGAATGACTCACTCGGTTGAACCGCGCCGTTTCCCGGTCAGCTCGTTTCCTGGATTTCGCACCTTCCGCAGCTGGCTCTGTAGCCGTGCCTGACCGTCAGCATCGCAAACAGAACTGAAGCTACAATAAACTTCAAGTGTTCGAAGTGGTGTTTGTTGTTTCTGTTCAATATGCGAAAAGCACAAATCAAAGCGGAAGAACGACCAACGTTGCCTTGAGGCACGAGCTCAGGAGCAGCGCCTGCACCACGGGCCAATTGCACTTGGCACGGAAAGAACAACCGGTGTGAGAACACAGAACACAAAACAACACCCAACGCTGAGTTGCGAAGCATCTCCATCCAGCCTGCCATGTTGACATCACCTCACAACCGTACAGAAACCAAGGAGGAGCAAAGGTACCTTCTTCTTCACCTTTTTCTTCTTCTTCTTCTTCTTGAGTCAGATGTTCTTACTTCTTACGGTGTGAAGCAGAATTCCCTGTGGAATGTTATGCATTACTCCAACCTAATAGCAAAAGGAACCTAGAAGCAATGGCCTCCAACCTAGTAGCGATAGCCTCCAACCTGCTAGCAATAACCTCCAACCTAGAAGCAATGGCATCCAACCTAGACGCAATGGCCTCCAACCTAGAAGCAATGGCATCCACCCAGTAGCGATGGCATCCACCCTAGTAGCAATTCGTAGCGATGGCCTCCAACCTAATTGCGATGGCCTCCAACCTAGTAGGAAAAGGAACCTACTTGCGATGGCCTCCAACCACATCATTCCTGATTTTTGGTATCAACATCCACGGGTTCATGGCTGCCTTGTTGATCACCTCGAGGCAGGGTCTGACCTGGTGACGGACATTAAGCGAGTCTGCACGTAGCATCACTATTGGCATCTAACAGTCTACGGAAATTGTTTGGCTATTTATGGGTTTACTGGCATCGTAGGATCTTCGTGCATCCACAAGTGCTCTTATCCGCAAGCAGAATTGAACCCAGAAACATGTGAACTGGCCCCGCAGAGCCTGCAGGAGATTCTTCAGCCTGCGGCGCACTGCCTGAAATTGTCCAACTCTTGTGATGGCCTCCACCCTAGTAGCAAAAAGGAACGTAGAAGCAATGGCCTCCAACCTAGTAGCTTACAAATGCCAAAAGCATACAACAAGGCCGGGAATGGATTTGACTCTTTCAATCTGCACTTGGCACATGTTATTAATGCCCCTATTGGCACACCTGGCACAATCTTCGGCCTGGCTGTGTTTCAGGCATGTGAAAGGATGCAATGAAGACATCGTCCTCTGCTTCTTCGTTCAATTCCTTAATTCCACAGCAAGTTGGATTACCACGAATGGAGGCGCGCATTTTTGCGTGCATCAGCTTGCTCATGTTGTCCCGGGGTTGGGCGCAAAAGGCAACGGAACTATCTTAATAGCCAACAAGGGAGTGGCCCAGGATGACCTCGCGAGGAAAAACGGTGACAGTTGCCAGCAACCCTTCACTCTGGGGGTTGGAAGGCTTCCCTCTGAGCTTTTCTTGTTACTAGTAAGGCCAGGAGATGCCAGGAGCCCGTAGTCGCTTCTTGTTACTAGTAATGCCCATGTTAGTAGTAGCAAAAGGAACCTAATAGGAACGGCCTCCAACCTAGCAAAAGGAACCTAGTAGCGGTGGCAACCAACGTAATAGCAATGGCCAGGTTTCACTCTGAATGAGGTCATTCAGGTGCTCGTCTAGCTCCAACTTTGCATTTGGATGAAGGCGATGACTGAAGTCGCGGTTGAGGTCCTCATCTCAGGAAACGTTCCACATCGCCTAGGGAAAGTACGTGCTTTTCTTCGACCTGCTCTGGACCTCCCGGACAAAGTGGCAGAGTCCGAAGGTGAAGACCTATAAACAGGATTCTCACCACTTTGATCGACACCAGAAAACTCCTATGAAATGGTTGAACCAAGTTTAGCAGAAACATGTTCGATCTCCTGACATCCACAACAAATAGTAACAAGGTTCGCTACTAGAAACAAGTGCCACGCTACTAGTAACAGGTGCCTTACTAGTAGTAACAAGGTTCGCTACTAGAAACAAGTGCCACGCTACTAG